ACTTTACGAAATAGCTCAGCCATTTATGATAGCATTTCCAAGTTCCTATATGGTTGAAGCCGGTTTCAGTCACGTAAATTCAATCTTAACTAAGAACAGAAATAAATTAAATGTGGAGTTTCGAGGGGATTTAAGATTAAAATTAACCAATTTTGAACCCAATATAACGAACCTTGCAGAAAAAAAAACACCAGGCACACCCATGTCATTGATTAAGAAGCAATAAATCTGTAGTTACTTTACTTATTATTTCGACTTACTTATAATTATTTGTTATTTCATAAATATTTATATTTCAACATTAATATATTTTTCATAAACTATTGTTACACTATGTACTATTACTTTAATAAATGTTCAAAATCATAAAATAAATGAACAAATACAGTATCTAATAGAGTTTTATTTTAATTAACAGAAAATTACTTTTATGGGGGTCGATGGAGATTTCGAAAAATTATGTAGGGGTCGATGATCAAAAAAGTTTGGCAACCCTTGCGTTATTCACACACATAACAACCAATATGCCTTACCAAAAGGCACGGATTACACTACTCTAAAAAAGATTTTAACACATCATCTGGATAATCAACAATTTTTCCAGGAGCTTTTCAACCACCTCCTCAGCTCGTGAACATCAACAGAACCCCCTAAAAACATCAATTTTATCATCCAACCCAGTGTGTTGCCACCATACAATATTACAAATTAAATTTCCAACCAAAAGTGAAGTATATAAAATTAAAGGTTTATTTTTACTGTCATTACTATAAGTTTTAAGACTCATGCTGCCACCTATTGGCACAAAGATAAATTTAAAAAAAACGAAACTGTAAATGAACTTTTATCAGTACAGTTTCAGAGCTTTTTATTCACTTTACTTTTTTGGGATTTTATGAACTGAAAAATGACAGTTTTCGTGAGAATGACCCATATATATATATATAGATAGATAGATAATTAATTTTTGCACTTTTTTTAGCATTTCAATTAATGTTAGGAAAGTTTTAAACCTAACAACTTAAAATATCATTTATTATCTATCATATACTAATTTGTTTTGTTGTATGATACTCTTAAATAACCAAATCCCTAAATAAATTCCTTTTTCCTCTCCCCAGAAATCATTGAAAAGGATTCTTCCGAATATGATACAATTGATAATTCAGATACTGACGAAAACGATTCATCCGAAGAAGATAATGATTATAGCTTAATTTACCCAAACACAAATTATTCTATGATAGCTGGTCCTCAAACGTTTTCACAACCTCGTGAAATTTATGAAACCCTCATGACACCAGATATGAATAAGACAAAAAATGTCTATAAAAACAATAAACACCATCCCAGACATAATACGACGATGTATCGAAGACGGGGAAAACACCACCCCCACCGAAATAGGTACGGAATTAAACACCGTCGCAGACCATTTGGTAATAGAATGAGGGATGGGAATGATACCGTAAATTACAGACCGCAAATTAAGAGACGACGTAAAAAAATGCATAAAAAATATCCCATGGAGTATGAAACAAATTATAATTCAAAGAATTTAAGCGAAAACCCCGATTGGTATAATTTTGATGAACCTGATGATGATGCGGATCAGTCAATGGGTTTCAACAATACCTATAATAACTTGCTGTCCTTCCTAAAGCCAGGGTCTTCCTTAAGAACTCCGTCACCGTTGAGTTCAAGTGAAAAACCTGAATCGTACGATTTTGATAAAATTGATAAAGATTATGGTCAGATAATCGGAAGTGCGCGGGAACCTGATGATGGTGATAATAACTCAAGACCCAAACCAGATGAGTTATTAAAAGCATCAAATGATGATTCAAACGAAAATTACCGACATCGTGATAAAGATCAGTCAATGGGATTTAACAATACGTATAATAATTTGCTATCATTCTTAAAGTCTGCCTTTGGGTCGTCCTTAACAACTCCGTCACCTTTGTATTCAAGTCAGAAACCTGAATCGTACGATTTTGATAAAACTGATAAAGATTATAGTCAGATAATCGGAAGTGCGCGGGAACCTAATGATAGTGATAATAATTCAAAACCCAAACCAGATGAGCTATTAAAAGCATCAAATGATAACCACTCAGACGATGGTACGGATCAGTCTACGGGATTCGACAGTACCTACAATAAGTTGCTCTCCTTCCTAAAGTCAGCATTTGGATCTTCTGCAACAACCTCTTCTCCACCTACTTCGACTCTTGAAGGTAATAGAATGTTTACTTAGCTTAAAAGTTTGTTATAACTCCATTTATAACATCCTTTTTCTTTTATCAGAAATCAGTGGAGTTTATGATGAAGCAGATGATGGAATAGATGAAACATCTAAACAGTTTGAAACGACAATGAAGTGGGGTTTGGGCATGCAGACATCCACCGAAATGACATCCTATCATACACCTTCGTCTTCTCTAGAGTTACCTACAATAACTCAAACAGAATTCATAACTACGGATGCGTCAACAATATCATTAGCCAGGACAACGGTACCAGAAAATACATTGCAAACTTCGAACATCCCTGCAATGTTTGAGTCACAACAGACTACAACTTTGAGTTTTCTTGACAGTGCCGATATTCCTTCACCATCAGGTGAATCAGATGGTGGCGACAATAGTACCAATAGTCTGTTGAATTTTCTCAAGAACTTATTCGGTGGATTGAGAAACAATTCCCACAACAGTTCTAGTCCAGATATAAACGAAACAATAGATGAGATTAACGATGAGGAAAGATCTAAAAATCGTACCGATATTCCTTCCCCATCAATCGAATCAGATGACGGCGACAATAGTACCAGTAGTCTGTTGAATTATTTCAAGAACTTGTTTGGTGGATTGAGAAGGAATTCCTACAACAGTTCTAGTCCAGACATAAATGAAGCAATAGATGAGATTATCGATGAGGAAAGATCTAAAAATCGTACCGTACTTCGTCGTAAAAATAATTTTCCGAAGCGAAGAAAAATGAGACGAAGAAAAAAAGGCCACTTACATAAACGTCCGAATAATATGAATCTTCCAACAGAATCTACTGATGACTCATTTAACGAACCAGATTTTTCAAGCTTTGATAAATACTTATCTAACAAATTGTCAGAGTTTCGGCCAAAAGACTCCAGCTCGTCAATTACAGAACTAATAAATACAGAAGGTAACTAAATCTTTTGTTTGAGTTAGTTGTATCAATATTCGGAAGAATGAGCTTTAATACTGTGTAATTTAATATGATTTTCATATATTTCTGAGGAGCAAAACTATTTTCAAACACATTATTTTTTTAATTAGTTTTTAACAGATTCCATAAGATATTAAATTGTTAGTGTAAAATATTATAATATAATCAAATTATATCATATATATCCGGAATGGTTACTGTCCTTTATTTAGAATTAGGTATTATAGCAATTGCAGTGATAGCCATTGATTTGTACATATATTTGTCTTTTAAAGACATTTATCTACAAGTATTTGAACGTAGCTGCAACTAAAATGAGATTTCAAAATATGTCGTTCTTTAAAATAAAAATATCAATTTCTGATAGTTAATTTGTACGAGTTTTAAAAAGAGAGTCAGTTACTAAGCCATGTTTGGTTTTTAGGTAGTCAAAAATTGCAAACACCATTTTTTTAACTAACGTCAATACAGTGAATATTTTACCATATATTAAATATTTAAATTATTAATTATTTAAATCAGGTTTAGATATATATTCATATAATTTAAGAAACCTTAACTTTTGTTATCTAGTAGTAAGTAGTAAAATACAATTGTTAGTGTATTTTATTTCTGAAGCGATTTAATTCCTTATCAATAAAAATTTCATTTCAACATATGATTTTTTTAAATCTCCTCGGAAGCTTGGTGGGTATTTAAATTGGGTGGTATTAAATATATACTACTTACGTATTAGATTTTCGTTAACTTTGATTTGTTTTCTAATTTCCTTCGTTGTCAAAGAATCACTAATATTTTTCTGAAGACAAAATCATTTGATCCGCAAGCTAATTGTTATTAAATGGCGATGCTTATAAGTAGTAATTCATCTACTTTTTTCCACTTAACCTTCCTGCTTTGTAAGTATAAATAATTTAATGTGAAATTACTCTAATGGCATAAGTTTTAATGTTAAGTAAGTTTTCACAGCTTTTATGTCATCAAAAGGCATACATCAAATATTAATCGTGCTTATAACATCTATTTACAGAGCCTTATACATCAACATTATTGATAACCCAATCAAGTGACATTGACACACAAAAATCTACTACGGAACTACAATTGACCCAAAGTGAGTTGACAATTATTCCAAGCACTCCAATGTTGGTGCCTTCCTCTACAGAAATATCTTCTACATCTGAAAAGACATTTTCAACATTTCCTGAAAAAATATATACTACTCCAGAGGCATATACTGAAATGCCTTCAACATCTACATTGATGCCTACAATTTCCACAATGAAACCTTCATCTTCTTCTCAAATACCCTCAACTTCTACTTCAATGTCTACTGAAACACTTATATCCACTCCCGTCGAAATACTGTCAACAACTACAATAGAAACACCATCGACATCTACAGAAGGAATGCCATCAACTACTACAGAAATAGAATCCACTGTAACTGAAATGCCTGTAACAACAATGACAGTTTTAACGACTTCTACAATGTTACCTTCATCTACTGAAACAATTTCTAGCTCTACAGGAATATTTTCTACATCTATGAAACCTACAGAGACAAGTCTTGCACCAATTGAAACTACGGAGAGTGCAAAATCTTCTGCAGTAATAACTTCAGAATCTACAGAGATCCCTTCAACATCTCCAGAAATGCTTTCTACACCTACGAAACTTCCAGAGACAACAACTTCCCCTGTTGAAACATCTACAGGAACTGAAACATTATCAACTGCAGTTACTTCAGAATCAACAGACATCCCATCAACAACTCCAGAAATGATTGCCGCTGTGACGCCTTCGTCTCCAACTGAAATTTCTCCATCTACGCAAGTACCTTCAACGATTCCAGAAATGATTTCACAATCTGAAACACCTTCTACAGAAACACCAATAACTTCAACGCAAATATCTTTAACTTCTCAAAGTGAGCAAACATCGTTGAAAACAGAATTAACCTCAACAGAAATACCAATAACTACAACTCCAATATCTTTAACTTCTCAAAGTGAGCAAACATCCTCTGAAACAGAGTTAACCTCAACAGAAACACCAATAACTTCAACGCAAATATCTTTAACTTCTCAAAGTGAGCAAACATCCTTGGAAACAGAATTAACCTCAACAGAAATATACATAACTACAACACAAATGTATTTAACTTCTCAAAGTGAGCAAACATCCTCGAAAACAGAATTAACCTCAACCGAATCACTTTCTACTTCCGAGGCATCAAGTTTTTCTACCCAGCCCATTCTTAGCTCAACGGCAGAAATTACAACTGCCTCAGAAATACATTTAAGTTCTACAGAAAGTCTGACAATACCTCCAGCTACTGATGCCTCTTTGACATCAACTGAAAATCCTTTAAGTTCTACTGAAGTGCCAGCATCTTCAACAGAATTGCTGATTGAAACTACTTCTGCAGAACCAATATCAACTGAAACACTTTTGTCGTCTTCTCAAACAACAGTTTCTCCAACTATCTTATTAAGCACTACTGAATCATCTCCCACCTTGACCGAATCAATACAAACCTCTTCAGAGAAATCTTCGACTTCTGCTGTTTCAGATGAATCTTTAATGGATCTTACTACTTCCACAACAGTCAGTGAAAGCATAACTCCAGATCATCAAACCTCAACGGCATTTGAAAGTATTACAACAGAAACCATGGCAGATTTAACAAGTAGTGTTCATGATGCTGCTACAACAGAAATGGCAAGCACTAAAGAAGAAAATGATGCACAAAAACTGACAACTGCGGGTTTGGTATCCACTAATGGTAAGTAAATTTTCTTTAATCTAAACATTTACACACGTTATCGAAAGAAAATTATTAGTTTTTATTTTTAAAGTCTATTAAAATCGCACAACACAAAAGTTTCAAAGCTAATTTAATATTGAGAAAGATATTGGTACGTTTAAATATAAAACGGAAACAATATTTTTATGAAAAACATTTTGACAGTTCATTGAAAAAGTCCCGGCCGTCAATGCTAGGCTGATGCAAATGTGCAACAGAGTCATTTATAACAAATTCAGCTTTATAATTAACAATTTGTGTTCTTATATAGAATCAAACTCGCTAGAAATTTAATAAAATGTAATTTAAAAATAGAAACGCTTATCCACACACTTCAAAGTCAAGGGCAACAATGACAGCATCCATGTCGGTGATGTTGCCCTGTTACAAAAATAAGGAGTGAAACGTCTCTCTCTACCCAAATTACCGAATCAGTTAATTTCAACGATAAGAATTTCTTTATGGTGGTCCTTTTTTGAATTTCTCAAATTTTCAAAATAAAAAAAATAGCTTCTAATTCACCATATAATTATGACTACTTATAATCTAGGGGAAATAACTGAAATGCCAAAAGTTAGTGGGAATTCAACATCTGATATGGATGAAGATGAAGGAGAAAACTTTCCTGTTACAGCCATTCCTCCCCCAGGTTTGTTATATACGATTCAGTGTTTTTTCAGCATTTGAAACTTATAAAAAAATTTTTGGTTTTTTTATAATTATGTTCTCTTTTTGCAGTGTTAAAGTGCTGATAACATTTGGGTACAAATTTCTGTTACCTTCGTGCAAATATTGCCCAATTTGAGTATCGGGATTTCAATTATAAATAAATTTTGCTCCTAATGGGACTACAGATTTTTTTAAATGACGTTTTTAGTCTATTTTTGTCAAAATGTACCAGTTTAAAAACATTATGTATAATGGGGGGTTGTGTAAAAATTGAGATAGGCTACTATGGGAGTTTGGTTGGGCACATCATCAGGATTAAAATTGCATAGAAACTCAAGTTCGGAAATCTCGTTATACGCGCGGCTATGATTGCTTCCCTAATATTCGTCCAGAAGCTAACAGAGAAACAATTCATAATATGAAAGTGCTATTAGCGGCGCATGATGACATTTCCAGTCATGGGCTTCTATGCAATTTTAATCCCAATGATATGACCTAATTTCCCTAGAAGTTTGTTGCAACTTTTACATGATCCCCCGTGACATATGACATTTTTAAACATTCATATTTCGACAAAAAAATAGAATAAAATGCCTTTTTAAAAAACACTGGAGCTTAGAGAAAGAAATTGTTCGCAAATTTTATATCAGCAATACAAAAGTATCTAAAATCTGTTAAAAAAATCTCCTGCAACAGAAAAGAAGAAAAAAATTCCTTGATGTAATTGATTTGATCATCAATTATCCTATCATCTGAAATTATCGAAATTTCATTTACTTAATTTCCCTTATTTCTATTTCCTTGGAGTCCTAATTTTTTTTTTCTAAATCGAAAAATTTCCCTTGCATTTTTAATTTTTCTTTCTTAAAAATTTATTTATAATATTTAGGAGATTAAAAATTTATGAAATATTTATAAATAAAACTAATAAGTAAAGCAACTTAAAACAATTTTAAAAAATTTCCATAGTGAGTTATTGTTTTTATCAACAATATTCTTAGAAACAGCTGTATGGAAATAATATTTCACTGTCGCAGTTTAAAAACAGAAATGTTGAGTTCAATGGTAATTAATTTCGTGACAGATTTATTGTCTCAATCTAGTACAATTGCTTTTTTTCTGTTTTAACATGTTTCCAACATTTGGCTTCAATTTGTTACTGCTACAAGCGGATTATTTTTATAAAACTTTTCATAAAAGCAAAATACTTAAATACTTTTGTATTCTGCTTCACTAAAAAGTACCGGAACGTCGTATCAGTGTGTGCCGACCCATTACCCCCTCTCCACAGCATTATATGGTGACTAATGTTATATTTACATTGAAAAATCTAGGATTAAAAATTGCTTACTTTTTTTAAAGTCATGCCGATTTAAACTTACCTTGGAATTTGCTCAAAAATTCCGAAGCACAATTTAAAAGTACTTTCTGGTTCTTGAACAGTACGATTGAAGTTTGATTATCAAAATAGCATCTCAAGTGCCATACTTTTACTTGTGTTTGTTGAATTTAGCTTCATAGAAATAGAAAAAAAAATATTTTACTAATCTTGTATGTATGTTGTGAATCCTTATTTAGGAGTTAAGTGCAAAGTTAATGAGACTTATTACAGTTGTGTACCACATTGCCAGCACACTTGCTTCAACTTTGATAGTGATGTGCCTTGTTTACCGAACTTTTGTGAACCCGGATGTTTCTGTAGTCCTGGACTCGTTATTGATGAAAATGGAAACTGTGTTGATGTCAAAGATTGTTTTCAACGTAAGTAAACGGAATCAGGGACCGATTTTACAAAAACAGAGTAGGGGAGAGTGGGGTCAATTGTAACAGGGTACGATTATAACAGAGAAAAATTTCAAGTGTCGGGTTCTAGATTTGGTTCCTAGGTGGCGCACTAGGATTGTTTAATAAATCTACATGTACACCCCTGCTGGCAACCATTTTTATGTACTTTTGAAAGAGTTACATCACAAAAGATATTTTCACGCTACGGAAGTATTTTTTTTTGCTATTAGAATATTATATTGTAACAAAGTAATTTTGTTTGAACAAATAAAAATTATTAACCGAATATGTAAGAGGACACCTTAATTAACATTTCAACAAAAATATTAGTTTTGTTAATTAACTAGCATTGTTTTTAACAAATGAAGCTGAAATGGCGTCTTGGGGACGATTGTAACAATAAGTAAAGGGACGATTGTAACAGCTGAAAATAAATAATCTTATGTTTACAAACCATTACTTAACTCTTTAAGAACCACCAATAGTTTCCTATATCATTTATATTATGTTGCATGTGCATTATTTTATTTGTCACCTTTCACAGCATAAATTAAAATTTTTAACCCCTTAAAGTTAAAAGTTTAACCCTTTAGGTCTCTGCTCATTATTATTTTTACTCCTAAAATATCACTACTATTTTGATCAATAAAAAAATATATCACAACTATGATAATATGTATAATTAACTATGTTTTAATTGAATTTATGAACTGTTACAATTGACCCCGTACGTGGGAACAATTGTAACGAGTGCACGACTGTCAAAAATTTTTAATAACTAGTATAATAACATTTAAAATAAGGTATTTATTTTTTTTCTAGTAGAGGATAGTCTACTTTACTCGTCTGTCAATTAATACTAATAATATATTGGAATTTTTGTTAGTTAAAAATAGTTAAGTAAAAAATGTTACAATTGACCCTACTATTTATTTAAAAATTCAAATTGTTTAAAGATTTTTTTAATTAAATTTTGTTTTTGATTTTTTTTAATAGTTAACTGTAATTTGGCTATATATCTATTGGACTTTGAAACCTGGGACATGTGCTTCAAATGACCTTTCGTAAATTAGTCTCTGAACTGAATAATAACTGATAAAACAGAGCGAATCCGATATTTTTTAAATCATAAAAATTACAAATCTTGAATCAAAAAAAATTTCACAATCAATTCAAGTTGTACAAAAAGTTTTTAAAAAAAAAGAAGCGATAATAGATAATAAAAAATAAACAAAAATGAACAACTAATCTAAAAAATTAAAATTGGTAAATTGTAAAAATTAATTGACATCTAAATTGTGAAGAAAAAAAAATCTATATTTAGAAACTTTTGCTTCCTGAATATAAATAAGGAAGAAATTCATAAATAATAAAGTTGTACCTATATAACGTGTACTTGTATACTTGTAACTCTTATAGAGATGCTTACTGTCTCTGAAGTGAAAATAATTTTCAGAACTTGAGTGAAAAAACAGGGGGAGGGGGATTGATATTTCTCAAGCTTCTGTAATCTTAAAAAAAAAACTTTAAATATCGCTATTTACATAAAAATAAAATAATTCGTGTTTAAAAATATTCAAATGTTGATGCATTTGTTTTTCCGAAGAAAATCTGACATCCTGACAAAGAACGGTTTGATTTTGAATCAATTATGCTTTGCCAATGAAATCAGTTAGTACTTAACCTTTCTACGCTACAAGGTAAAAATATAACGAGTTGTCTATTTGATTCTGGTTTATTCTTGACTTACAGAATAAGTATCACTATTTACCTGCTGGTAAACAGTGTTGATAAGGACGTACCTAATCCTACTACCTCGTCTTATTTCAGTTTTCCCACTTTTTTATAGCGTGCATTAACTAAGTCGTATTGGCTCAGGTGAGAGAGAGAGAGCTCATCTCCTTATGAGGTGACCCGGGTTGACGCAAATGAGAGTTAGTTCCATCAAAAAGTCCTCTACGAAGGCAAATTTTTTCCCAATGCTTGACCCAGGAGTTCCCCTGTCTTCTGGATTGTGATCAAGATCACTAGGAGTTAAACATTGGTAGTCGTAAACTTAAAATAGGGTCAGCTGTTCAACAACGATGATAAGATAACAGGATGCGTAGCCAAATTATTCAACAAAAAATAAGCACCTTTTAAGCACTTTTCAAGCACTCAAAAAATATTTTTAAGCACATAAAAAAAATATCTTAATTAGGCAGGGTTGGAAAGTTTTTGACAATTGACGGTTTTATCTTGTTTTAACCGTCAAGCCAAAAAAAAAAAAAAAAAAAATTTTTGACATTGTTTTTGACAATTGTCAAAAATCATGAAATTTTGAATCATGTATAACGAATGGCGTTTTCATACGCTACGGACTGACAATAAGCTAAAATAGATTGGGATTGAATTAATTGTGAAAACGTTGAATAAAACTATGTGAGCTGTGTCTTTTTGCATAATTCGTAGCCAAAATCAACATGGTAGAGGAAAAGTATCATTTTGAAAAAGGGAAAATTAAGCACTTCTCAAAAACACCCAATGAAAAAAGCACCTTCTAGAGCTTTTAAAAAACGAAAATCGAAAATAAGCGCCTTCTTAACTTATTGTTCGGAAATATCTTAAGCTATTGTTACAGATGAATTTGGCCCCCTCCCCCCCCCGTTTACATTGTAAACTGTTACTTTTTAATGAAGGTATAACAAGTAATTCTACAGGAATGGTTTTCAAACTGTGCTAAGGTTGAAAACCATATTGTTTTACAACAATATCGCATATGAAAGTATAAAATTTTTAAATACTTGTACTTAAGAATTAGTAGCCCATGATTTAGCAAAACATGTTTTTAATTGCTTATCTCATCAAAATAATGATTAACTTTAATTGGTATCATAAGGATTAATTGGATAATGTTGCTGCTCGAGTCCAACTCATGATATCTTAAATTTTCCACAATCAATCAATTTTCTCCAGTATTTATACTTATACAAAGCACATCTTAAAAACGCTACGCACCCTGGATAAGATAAGCTTGTATTAACATTTATTATTCACGTAAACAACAAGATTAATTTCTTTCTCCAGAGGCTTGTGGAATCGATGAAGAATGGTGGGATTGCAAACCTGAGTGTCACAACACATGTGAGAATTACGCAAGAGCAGAAGCATGTGAAGACACGGTGTGTAATGAAGGATGTTTCTGCCGAGAGGGTTACATTAGAGATGTAGATGGAAGCTGCGTGGACCCTGAAGAATGTGCTGAACGTAAAAATATTTTTTTTCACATTTTTCTTTCGTTTCAGGCCTGATGTAAATAAAATTTATTTAAAAAATATATATATTGCTAGAAATAGCGTTAAAAAATTAATCAATTTTTGAACTAGTTTTCGAAAAAAAAATTTTAATATTCGTGAATTTTCAAAAAAATTAATTATGTTAATTAAATGTTAGCTATAATTTAATTATACAATTAGTTATTTTTAACTAGTTCAATAAGCCATCTGAGTCAACCAAACAAAAATAATATAGTTGACCTGCCCTTAAGTAAATTATTATTTCATTTATTAATTTGCAATTGCATTCATCAATGAAATATTATAAATTTATTAATTTTAATTTAGTATTTTCCGCATTTTTATTGTACATATTTTCTTTAATTTTTTAATGAACGTAAGACTAATTACTATTTAGAATTATTATTAGTCTTGTTATCTAAATGTGTCAATTTTATTACTCTCAATTTATCGACAAAAGATATAACGATAACGATTATGTTTCATGAAGACTTGGCATGACAGAAAGCCCTTCATTAGCAAGAAAAATAAAAATTAAAAAATATATATACTACCCTGCTGGCCACCCAAATTGCAACACCAAGAAAGACAAGAGATATTACAACAAAATTTATTTTGTAGATAACATGTTGACCAAGTATCAAATGATTAAATTTGTAGACTTCTGTGAAGTGTGGTTCCTGCTAAAATCAGTAGCCAGAGTAGCCGCCATTGTTGGAGATCACAGCTGCCACTCGCCTCGGCATTGATTCAAAGAGACTTTGGATGTGTTCTTGGGGTACAGTAAATCACGCAGCTTCCACACGTTGCCAAAGTTGAACTGGTGTGGCAGCTGGGGATGTAATCTGGGTCAATCATTAAACAATCAAGGGCCATATGTTTTCTATCGGCGAAAGATCCGGAGAGCGAGCTGGCCAGGGAAGCAATTCAATCTGGCGATTGACGAAGAACCCTTGGACAATGCGTGCCACGTGTGATCGCGCATTATCTTGTTAAAATATGGCTCTGGGCAGCTCTGGAGGTAAGGAAGGACAACTGGCTCCAGCTGTAGCGCTGGCTGTTTAAAGTACCGGCAATGCGTACTAGAGGAGTGCGAGAGTGATCATACCATAATACCCGGTGCAGGACCAGTATGGCGGTGCATAAAGCAGCTGTTCAGCATCCTCTCTCCACGGTGTCTCTAGACTCGAATGTGACCATCGTGGTGTTGCAGACAGAAGCGTGACTAGTCAGTAAAGACAATTTCATTCTATTCTGTCGTCCACATCCTTCTTTCATCGCACCATTGGCGGCTGAGACGTCTATGGTTCTGCGTCAAGGGTAGACGAAGCAATGGACGTCTTTCGGACAGACCACTCTGCTGTTAACGGCGTCGAATGGTACGTGCAGACACTGGATGATGCGTTACAGACTGAATGTGCTGTGCTATGGTTTGTGATGTGACTGAGCGATCAGTCACTGCCATGTGCACAATTCGCCTGTCATCGCGTGAAGTGGTGCACAGAGGTGGATGCAATCGAACACGTCGGTCCGTCGTTCCCTCCTGCATCCAACGATCACATATCCGCAATACAGTTGTTTGATTTCGTCCAACACGACTACTGATTTCCCTAAAAGATAATCCACAATCTCGGTAGGCCACTATCCTTCCTCTGTCGAACTCGGATACTTGATCAAAAGATGATCGCTTTTTTCTACGAGGCATAATTGATCGTTTTTTGAGAAAACCACAATTACCGAACTTGAAATCGTCGAAATCTCCAAGCCTTAAATAGCGCTTTGAAGTGGGGCCACAGAAACGCGTAATGTGCAACTGCGCTGAAATTCTCATCACTTGCATATCTCACCTTCGCTAATGCATGTTGTAAATTTCATGTTATTTGCATGCTTCCTTCAGGGTGCTGCATTTACGGTGGCCAGCAGTGTACTAATCTCCAATGAATAAATAATGAACAAAATAAAATTCACTTAAATTCACTGAATTTAAAAGAAAAAGCAAGAAATTCTTACGCTAGTAATAAGATTGTTTAGTTATGATCAGAAAATTTTTAAGTAGTAGAAAATAAAAATTTATTAAGTAACAGAAAATAAATTCAACGCATTTCAAGTTTGAATGCATTATGCAAATGTTTAATCGAGATATTTTTTCCTTCAGCTGTTTGTTTAGACCACGAAGAAGAAACGGATTGCATGAGCCCATGCAATAGATGTACTGCAAACTGCCATTCTTGCAAGTTTTTCATGTGCCGCTCAGGTTGTGATTGCAGAGATGGTTACAAAAGAGATGACAAAGGCGTGTGCATCCAGGCTGCCCTATGTCCGAAATGTAAGTAGCGGAAGTCATCAAAGAATACACATCCATAAATACAATCCATGAATACATTCCAAATAAAAACCCACAAATATATTCCATGACACATACCAAATACACATCCTTGAATACATTCCATAATTCATTCCACGATACACTACATCAAAGAATTCAACCATTTTTCTATCATTTTTCAAATAGAATGTTGTTTGCCAATTTTTTCCCTGTGTAAAACAATACATTTGACAATTGACAATATTTCCCAATGCATGGAACTTAAATGTATAATCTGTTTTTGTACAAAACTCTCCTCGAGAACAGTGGTTGTGACTATTGTTAAAAGGTTTAACTATTTCAAGTAATGGTGTTGGGTCAATATTTAATGATGAATTAGTCTATGGTCGACGAAGGAAGGGAAATAATAGAAAGAAATAACTACCCAATTCAAAATCGCTATTTCTTGTTTCCTTAGCAGCAGACGGTCTTAGACTTTGCGATGAGAGAAGTTATTTATATAGACAGGCTATAGACTTAACTGTATATTTCGCCCATTTATTTTATTTGAAATAAATAATACCATATAACTGACTAACTGATGGTTCACGTTTCTTGCAAGTCAATACACGTTGACCTTAACATAAATTAAAATATTACATATTTTTTTTCTTCTCTTGCAGGTGATGTTCCAGAAAACACTGCTTCAGCAAACGCTACTTTAGGTTCAGCTTCAGCAAGCTCTGCTTCAGCTTCAGCAAACTCTGATTCAGCAAACTCTGCTTCAGCAAGCGCTGCTTCGGCTTCATCAAACTCTGATTCAGCAAATGCTGCTTCAGCTTCAGCAAACTCTGCGACAGTCAACTGAGCGATAGAAGCTCTTGACTGTAGTTGATGAAATTCTGGCGAAAAAAAAGACAAAAAATTAGCTACCTCTGCCTGGTATATCATTTGATTGTTACCAAGTTGTTTCCACACAAGACGTTGGCCAGATGCAACATATCAGCGAGATTGAAGGAAGTGAAAACACCGCGGAGATGATAGATCGATATGTATTGTAGTTTGAACTCGGCCTCATAACTTATGATAAACTTTTATACTGCAATAAATTTATGTAAATAGTGAAATATTTCAGTTTCTGCCATTATGAGATTTTATTTGAATATAAGTTTTCTTTAACCATTTTCAGACATTAAAAATATAGTTACAGAGGTAGTTAAACAAGCAACGTTATTCTGTCTTTATGTTGAATAATTTTTATGTGTTTACGTATCACTCGTTGTGATATTCAATCTATTATATTAACTTTAAATATCAAGTTCTAATAAGTAAAACACAAAAGTCACATTACATGTGTTTTCTATCGTTTCTATCATCAAAATAGGCCGTTCTTAACCCTTTGAAGCAAAATTTTTACTAAACATATTTTTCATACTCTTTTCGCTATTTTGTAATAATTTAGGTGTGAAAAATATTATATTTAATAATTTATGATTAGGAAATATAGCATGAAACACCGGTACCTTTTTCTGAGTTAAAGATAAATTCTTCCACACACGGCTCACTTCCAAACAATAATTGTTCAAATTTGCACTTATTTATATCTAAGAAAAACAACTATTCATCATTGAAATGTCTTTAATTTACAAAATCAATTATTGATAAATTTTTGAATATGAATAAAAAAATTGTTTTAGAACAACTTTCCTTGGATTTTTTATTTTAGTTCAAATATAATTCCGATAATCTAACAGATTTTTAGTAACTATTAAACTGTTTTTTCATAATTTAAAATACCAAAAAATATTTTTACTTATAATTAGAGAATCCGAAAATAATTTATAAAAGAAACAGCGGTTAAAGACAAAGAATTAAATATGCTGTCGAAGTTTTAAGATTGAATTTTACTAAATCCGAATGAACCAAATTTAGCCAAATTTTCCCTTGTATTTATAATTATTGAACTCGATCTTATTTTTACAGATTAAAAATCCATTCTGATAACCAAATTAGATTTGCTTGCCCGTACAGCATTAAACCTATTTATAGTCATCTATACTCTTCTAAAATATAGTATTATGTATTGGTAATGTAGTTTATTTGACTCCTTAAAGTTAAGTTTTCTGGAATCTTTGAAAAAATTAAAAAGTAGATAGAAGACTATCTTTTCGTCAATTTGATTTAGCATTAATAATACATTTGTGATTTCCTCAAAAAATAATAATTTAAAAGGAATGTATATTCAAACTGGTATTTTATGGTATGACAAAAAGGTGTAGTTGAAAACAAATGTATTTTTTTCTACTTTATTTCAATTTTCAATACCACATGTCGAATATTTAGAATATTTTTAGAATATTTTGAATACATTTAGAATATCAAATATTTGTCGAATATATTGATCATTGTAAGAAATCAATCTAGGATTCATAAAAGAATCTAGGATGATATAAAATCAGATTGATAATTATTTACAACTTTTTACATTTTGTCGAAGGCGGTCTCTATAATTTAGAATCCATTGCAAACCAAGAGCGTTGTATCGCTGACCCTGTGACTAAACGTTATCTCAACTTGTTCTTTTAAATACATAATTAAAATAATTAATTTTTTTTAAAAATGCCTTTATCGATAATAAAAAAAATTCAAGATATGAATTTTTTGTACACACAATCGAACACAAAAACAGTCACAGTCGCACAATGAATAGTAAATCATTAAAACTCCTATCTTAAAGTTTTGAAATTAGCCAGTCAAATAATGTGAAATTTAAATTTAAGAAAGAAAAACATTTTAAAACGTCATACACTGTTTTCGTTATTGGAATAAGAAATGTGGTGTGCATTATAGAACTAAAATATATCCAAAATATGCATTTAATTAGCAAACTTTTGTGAAAGATATTTACAAAAGTCCTTTAAGAAAAGGGTAAAATTGTCTTGAGGAGATTTAAAGATGTAGAAAAATGATTTCGATATTTTTAGTTAATATTTAACGAAATCTACATTTATTTCATATGGTTAGTGAACAAAAACTGCATAAAAATACATGTATAATTGTTTATATCTGTCTAATAAATGAAAGCAAATAAATTATACAACGTTATAAAATTTAATTTAAAAAATAATTAAGATGTAACACTGAATTTCATTTAAATGAGGGTAGTAATGCGAAAATTACCAAGCATTTCAAACTTATCAATGTAATAATTAATTTATGTAGTTTATATTAATAGTACGTATGTAAGTGTTTAGTTTGCGTCGCGTTAGAGCTGCTCAATGGGCTATTGGCGACGATCTGAGAAACATCTCCGAGGATGAGCCAAAGAAATTCCATCACAATTTTGATCTTCTGCAGAAGGAATGGCTTCCTCACTTTGGTAGCCTGCACGTTAAGTTCACTTTACAATATAACAGATTAACGAAGACAGATACCAAGCACCCTCAGTCCCTACGCAGGCTTATCAAAGTGCTCATCCACCAGCTTACTGACCGCAGCCAGTGATGCTTAACTTCGGTGCTCTACTCGGTTCATATCAGTTCATATTAGTATGTAGTATATATTATTAATGTGTGTAATTTATATTAACAATTAACTTATGTAATAATTTATGAATATAATAATTAGTTTATCTATAACTGTTTCGCAAGTATGAAAGTAACTTTAAAGGCAAACAAAGTAAATTATTTAAGAAAAATTCGCTATAAATTGCCCTCTACTGTTCAAAAAAAAATTTTTAAGATTTCATGTAAAAATAAAAGCTTACTTTATCTGTAGTCTATAATATAATGTAAGTTTATATTAAATCGATAAATCTGGTTAGTATGTCTAATAACTAATCATTTTTAATAATAGCAGAAAAAAATGATCAAGTAATTTTCCTAGTGCTTAACTTAACAAAATAAAGTTATTTTAGGTTTAATTATTTTTGTAAAATACCAAAAATATTTAGGTAATAAAGGATTTGAGAAAATGTACCATGTGTCTTTGTAAAATGTATCAATCTTATTAATCTGATCACTACTATTAATCAGTTTTGGAGTTTATATGGCAATCTCAAACATTTTCAAGTGTAAGTACAGTTAAAAACGTTTTTTCTGTTCCAGTTGTAGTGACATTCCATAGACTAACTTAATAATCAAACCAAAGATTGATTATATGGCTATTTTTTAGTTGTTAGTGTGGTTTTATGTGTAAAAAAGTGCCTTTTTTAACTAATTATTCTTGTATATACGCATCTTAAATTGTTAGCTAGACAAATGAAGTATTGTTTCGTATTTTTACATCAAATATATTTTTCGTTATATACTTCTACATCGAAAATGATATCAAACATGAATAAAGAGATCTAATAATTCATAAGGCATAACAGATACAGAAGGTTTTTACGCATGAAAAATACTTACTATACTTATGATCTTGCTACCTACACAAGTATGGCATTGTTTCCAAGTTTTTTCTTCTTTTTTGAACGTTGCATGTCACATTAAATTTAACTATAGTGAGTTGCAACATTACATTCTACACTCGACTTAATCAAAGATGTTTTAAAAGTATTTCTGTACTAAATAATTCATGCACATACAATATCATATAATCACATACAGTGCCTTGCTTTATCAATTTTCAATGGAAATATAAAATCTTTATTTTCAGCAGATTCAGACCCAAACCTGTTACAAACAATTATTAAATAAAAACATAAAAGAAATTAATTGTACTACATGCCTTAGAGTTATAAGCATCTTTAACTTTAAAACAAAATTGTATCATTGAATTGCTCATGCAGCTCTTTACCTATCTCAGCGTAAATAATTCTTCGCTAAGGATGGTATTAGTAACCGATCTATACACACATCGAAACTATATGTGCCGTTACATATGTATTGAACAAGACATTGACACATGAGATATTGAAATTATTGGATTTACAGATAAAAATTGATGGAAACTGTCGAAACTTAATTAAGTGTGATTGATTGTGTTACAAATTTCAATCGTCATCTGCTACAAGCAACATTTTCTGACAAATTAGCTTGATAGTACAGCAAATATCAATGAGTGATACACACATATTGAACGAGATATTGAAACAATCACCAAAAAAAAATTTTGATTTTTTTTCCGACTAGCTAGTGTATGTTAATATTAATTTAGCTTGGTACTAATTTAGGGGAAATTTCTGTATCGTGATCCGTGGCAGAATAAACGCCAAGTCTTGGAAACTTCCGGGCAGTGGCCCGTGAGAAACTAAAAAAAAATATCACAGAAAGGGACCAACTCGAAAGGTATAACTCGTAGCTACCCTCGGGCAAACATCTACATGTTTTTTTTAAAAAAATTTGCGAGTTTAAAATCGATTTGGTATTTTGGTGATTGTAGTTGGCGTGACAGATCACGATACGGAAATATCCCCCTAATTTACCATGCTAGTTTCAACCATTCATTGACTCCTAACCAGCAGTATTACCATAATATCGACAAAAAAATATACATTGTTAATCAAAATTGCAACCGCTATTCGTAAAATCAAAATTTAACCTAAGAGCTGCACTGGATGACAATAAAAATTTCAGCGTTGCCTGACCACTATATGTAGAATTTAATGCCTTATTTTGAAAAAATAAATAAATATATCGTTAATCGAAATTTTTACCATTGTCTGGCTAGCTTGAGGGCTAAATAAGCAAACTGGCGCTCTATGCATGTGAGATGTATTTAGACATTCGATGCTATCTGTACGAACTATCGTATCACGCATGCGCAAACGAATCGGGACTTTCCCTCTTCCCACTCGGGAAGTTTCAGTTCCGATTCCTCACCAGCTAGTGTTGCGTTAAGACGTATTTTCTTTATTCTAAATTTCAAATGAGGTAAATTCTTAATAAATTGTGCTTGTTAAATATAAGAGTGTTTATTCCTAAAACCCGAAGCTACGAAACAGCAGGCAGGCGATGAGATGGTGAATTACACTACATAAATGCGGAAAATCATCGATTGGAAAAAGTTTCGCTTCAAAACGAAACTAATTTCGGATTAGGGTTGCAAATACCTGAAGATCGGTAAAATGTTTGTTCTTGAAGACTGCTCCAGGTGGGACAATTTATTTATTTCTCCAAATGGAAGACATGATCTTTAAACTAATTTAACAAAATAAATAGTTAATATCAGTGCTTCAGCCGAAAGACGAAACCAGAAACAAAAGTAACGTTACTGGTGAAAATTTCGAGAAATTTGATAATTGTCAAGAAATTTTCGAATCATTTTCGGAGTAGTTTGAAGCTTTCTTTGATATGCAAAATGTTCCGAGTGAAAAACGAGTGAAAACTTTGATTTCCAGCATATCAACTAAATTGTATAATTTGTTAAAAAAAAAAAAAATTTGACACCCTACGTTCCAGCTGAATCTGATTTTAAATTTAAAAAACAAAAACACACTCTCAAAGATCATCTCCACCCAAAACCATTAATTATTTCTAGCCGACATATTTTCCTTAATCAGAAACAACTTGAAGGAGAAAACAATAATTCTTATTTAGTAGAACTTCGTTCATTTAGCAATAGAATGCAATTATGAACATGAACTGCTTAACACAATGCTGCATGATGCTTTTGTGAGCTGTCTCCGCAATCGTGCCTTATTAAACAGGCTTTTCGAAGAGGATCATATTGATCTTGAGAGCACAATTAAAACTGCTTGAGTTAAGGGAAGATACCAAACCGGTTTCTTGCAAATTCGGCTAGTTCCCTCCGCGCTAAAGCAGAGAGTCAATCAGGAAATTGAAATACTCGAAAAAGAAGGAACAGCACACTGGCAACGAAGAACGATTGATTTTGAAAACAAACATATCCGATTGGGCCACATCCATAGTTCCGATTGTCAAACAAAACGGATCTATTAGGGTATGTGCTGATTACTCAGTAACTGTAAATAAACGTTTAAAGGTACAAAAATACCCGCTCCTCCGAACTAAAGATATTCCTGCATTACTTAGTGACGGGAGGGTATTTTCTAAAGTTGATTTCAGCCAAGCTTATTTGCAAATGAAGGTTGAAAAAGAAAGTCAGAAACTGTCAACCCTAAATACAGAAAAAGGTCCTTATACTCCAAAAAGATTAATGTACGGAATTAATACAGCTTCATCCATTAGGCAAAAATACATCGAAAGTTTATTTCGTGGAGTAGAAGGAGTCTATGTATTTTCTGATGACCTCAGGTTAATGTGTATGAACTATCCATCAAGCAAGCAAATCGAGACTTTTCCTCTTCCTATTCTGGAAGTTTCAGTTCAGATTCCTCACCAGCTAGTGTTACGTTAAGACGCATCTTCTGTATTCTAAATTTTAAATGTTGAAAATTATAAATAAATTGTGCTTGTTAAAGAGTGTTTATCCCTAAAATCCCATGCTAAGAACAATTGTTTTCTAGACAAGTTACAATGGTTTTCTAAATATTGTAAGTAGATTTTATAACTATTTTACCGCCAATTATGTTTTTTTCTCCACTTTCTGATGTAACCTGACTGACAGGCACAAAACTGAAACTAAGAAAACAAAATAAAGATTCTAAAAACTGTATTTTCCAAGTAGGCTAAAAAAAAATATTAAAAAAAACTTTATTAGTTTTCTTATTCTAAGCCGATCACTTTCTCTCTCCTTTTTTGTCAACTTGAAAAATATAATTTTTAAAATTTTTGTTCCATTGTTTAATAACTCAAATAATATTATATTCCATGTTAATATTTAAAAGAATATAGTAGGAGACGAAAAAAATAAAAACATTTTTAAAAATCTTCGTCGTTTTTATATGTATGTGCACACTTTTTTTATTCAGTGCTTCAAAAACTATAGTTTTAGCTAATCTTCAAGACGTTAAAACATTTAGATTGTGATAAATAACTTTTTTTTTAAAAAATAGACGTGACATGAGCAATGTTAACTTTTTTTTATTGTTTTTGCAAACATTGTTCAAATAAATTGAAAGTAATTTATTAAAAAAAACTTATGTATCCGTTTTTGCATCTGATGATGAAGATTTTGTTATTTTCAGTGGCATTAATGTGTCCCAAATTTTGCAATTCGCTTTTAAAATATTTTTGAGGGAGATTCGGCATCATTGTTCTGGGAGCTGTTCCCTATAATGTCCAAAATTATTTTTCAAAATTTCATGGCACCCCTTGATGGCAGAAACCTTCCAGTACGGCAACATGCGCTGCAGATAATTTTTCATTCAAGTTATCATTTTAAAAAGGAAACAAAGAAATATGGTGAGATTGCTGAGATTTCTTTTCAAAGCAAACTTGTTTCGAATAAAAATTTAAATGCTCAACACCGTAGAGAGAACACCGGAGAGAACAAAAAAACAGTTTTTTTTTCTTCTTTTACTAGATGATGGGCCTGATTGTTAAGGGATTTATTCCTTTTTTTGCATAATTGTATAAAATTTATCGTCTTGAATTTAAACAAAGTTATGGAAAATAGTTAAGGTTCTTATATTTTCAAATTTTGCCTTTGTCTATCTGCGTTGAGATCACAGACATTATTTGGATTTATGAAAATACTGCAGCAGATTCACTCCATATATTCTGCTAAATGAGGGAAGCACAGCTGAGAGTAATTGAAGATTCAGCAATCAGCCATTAATTCTCCATCTCTCGATAAAAAAATAATAATAATAACAAAACCTTTCTCATTGTTTAAATAAATCGCCGCAAGGTAGCGGTAACTACAGTAAAGAGCCATTTACACTGCATGCAGAATATTTGCGTATGCGAACGAGAACCTGATGGGTAAAACACATTTACCTACAAAAGAACTTGCCAATCAGGTAATCGTTTGAATCTCCAAATTCACACCTCTGCTCTGTTTCAAGGAAATAAACCTGAAATAGGTGAAAAATACTTTACTTGGAACAATTTACCACTCAGGTTCCCTGATTCTCTTGACAGCTGTCAGAGGTGCGGCTACCGCATTTGTTGAGAATGCTCCCTAACTTTAACAGCTACTTTTTTGCACTTCAACTTTTACTTTGTTTTGCTTATGAGCTTGTGTGACGTTGACTACCGGCTGGTTTATCTTTTTATATATCTAACTTAAGCTGTAATTTTATGATTAAAATGAGATATGTTTTATAAATTTTAAAATTGAACAATAAAATTACTCTTGTTTACTTATTATCTACTTAAGTATGGGTAAGAATACATTCCCGAAAATTACATAACTTGCCTATAAATAGTTTCGTTATTGACAAAGTTTGAATCATATTATATGGAATTACAATTTGTTTTAGTGTCATTGAGAAATAATTTTATTTGCTTACAGTAGTGTGTTGGTCCCGAAAATAAGACGATATAAATTTACTGTTTATAAAAACGCTTACTAAAGCTATTGTAAACTAATTCGTAATAATGTGACATTTAGGGTAATGTTTTTCAGAGGAATATATTTGCCTGAAACAAGTGAATGGACTTACAAACTTTTAATCATATTACCTTAATTTCAAGTATAATATTAAGTGTTTTATCATTGTGGTAACTTTTAAAAGTTTGCTTCCAAAATTAAGTAATTCGTAAATCATAATTTTATAAACCAAACATTTAAAAATTGGTGCAGGGTTTGTTTCATTTTGTTTTTTTTGGTTGATTACTGAAATAAGATGCATAGTAAAGATATAATTATTCGCAGTAATATTTTCATAAAAATATAATATAAACTATTTAAGCAAAGCTAAAATATTTGTATTTATATATATAAATTGTTAGTATGGAATTGTATTAAATTTAATTTCTACCTCTCCAGATATTCCCGATTTCTAATATGCAATTATTTATACAGAAATGACTAATTACCTGTAAAAATTCTATGCGGAGTTAATTTAGCTCTTATCTTGTTGAAAAATTGTCAAGTAATTACTTGTTAAATTGTGAAGATACTTCTGTTATTCATAATTTTATTAGTTAGTGATGATTAACCGTTAGAAAGTACAATAAATTCTTTTTCTTAATTATTTATTCTTCCTGTTGTCTTAAATAATTTTTTATATCTACCTTCTTTGCAAAACTTTTTTAATTATTTATCTTTTATCATTATAGCTATTGCAACTGGTACATCATGTTTATTGTCTACTTCCCTGTTTGTTCTTTTGTTTGCTGGAATGCAAGTTTATCGCTGGAGCCTTGCATCTAGTCAGCTAATGACAGTGTTTGGTGGTTTTCTAGGATCCCTACTATTTATGTTTGCTCTGACAGTATCCTTTGCTTAAATTGTACCTGACTAATTTTTATTAATATTTTAACTTTCTTGAGTACAAAGTCCCATATATGGACACTTTTTAACAATCAAAATAAACAAAGCTCTTTCTGAAAATTCATCTATTGGTTAATTTTTATTAAATAAAGATATTTTGATGTTTACCTTAAAATCCTAATGACTGCAAAGTCTAGATTCCGGACTTGTCGACGATTCCAGATATGAGACCTTCCACTGTGTTTGTTTCAGTTGGGAAAAAGAATTTTGATACATTTAAAATGTTATTACTAAATAATTAATAATTGCATATATACACATACATATAGATAGATAAATATCTCATTAAATTAACTGAAACTTAGTATCAGTATATTTTAAAAACACATAAAAAAACTTTACATTGCTTTAATTCATTACATTATAAACAGCAGATATTTGATAGCATAATTTATATTCACATTATTTTGATGGAGAAAAATATATATAATTAGAAGAATACCGAATAATACTTAGAATCTGAGTTTTACCTATGCAGGGTGTACCCAAATCATCAGCCTTAGTATATGTTTTTGTAATCCATGGAAATATTAAAATTATTTTTATGCATATAATTTATACTTACAGCTTTTTTTTTAATAAGCCCTTCAATTACATTTTTAAACATATTTTGGTAAATTAACTTTAGAAAGTTCGAAAATTTCTTATTTTTGTTACGCAGATTTTCCATTTAGATTAAATATATATGTCACTGTTTTAACATATTTTAAATTTAGAAAAAGTGGTATTTAAAAAATACTTAAACAGAGAAATAAAGTTATTCTTTTATTTAAGGCATAGGGTGAGTTCAGGCCAACCCAGATCCCTGCAGTAGTTAGATCTTTACATAGTGACTGCTAGATTAAGAAGGATTTGACCTTAGAGGTTTTTTATGTCTTTCTGGATAATGTATTTAAGTATTAATGAATCTTAGTAATGTGAGACTGATCAGTTTCCCGTGACACTAAAGACCATATCATGACATTTACTTATTAATTACATCAATATTATTACTTTATTTGTGGCAAATAGTTTTACTGATTATGTGACAGAAATAAGTTCTATTTATGAATCAGATTTAATATATTGATATTTTAGCATTACATATCCAGGGGTCTGTCCAGGCCAAATTTACTACCGTTTAACGGTACCTTCACAAATTCAATTTTAAGTAAAACGGTAGTTTCTCAAATTCAACTTTAGGAAAAACGGTAGTTTCACAAAATACTTTTTCTTAAAACTTTATTTTTGTCTCCCTTAAGAAACGATAAATCTATATTTTTACCATGTTTTTGTGTTGACTTTTTAATATAGTTTTTAATTTTTCGCAAATTATGTCAAAATTTTCACAAAAACCTAGACAGACCCCTGATATCTATTCTTGTGTTGTTCTTCTTTAAAAGATTCTGCTTCAAAATTTTGCTTAGTTAATGATTGTAAGAAAATTTCCTTAATTAAACGTAGGCTATTGGCAACCTTGAAAGTTTAACATTTGGTAAAGGCTTCCAAACTAAACTGTTTCCAGAAGGTAAATACTTAGCTTTTCTTTGTTATATTACATTTAAATACAGTGTGTAAAAAAAAGACCCAATTTTCTATACACTTTTATTTATTTTAAAAAAGCATAGGCTTTTTCAGACTCTTTTCAAAAATATTTAGAAATTTGTTTTCTGGGATTGCAGGATTTGCTTCTGACTTAAAAGTTAAATATTTCGTAACTATTTAAAACTTTGTTTAAATCATTTATTGATTCTCATTTAGAACATCTATAACGTAATATACTAGTGTCTCTTTATTGACTATATTCGCAGTGTATAAAAGCACAAATAATATAGTTCACTGAAACTTTTTGGCATAACAAGTACTGTCTTTCATTGTCAATGTCCCAAGGGTCTTCTGTGTCATACTTCTGATTACCATACATCATTCTTTGTCTCTGCACTAATGATGACACTTATTTCAGAACTGTAAACTACACTATTTGTATTTTTATATTATTTTTTATTGATGTAACGTAAAAGTATTACTGTCTTCAGAATTTATCATTTTATTTCTGAACTGTTTGAAATAGATCTATATTTATTTGGAATTAAAATATTTGTTTGTGTACTTTTAAAGAGTATAACATACATTTTTTATTGTACCTTTACACAACTATGAAACATAAATAAATATCAAATCTTTTGGTACTAAAATGAAGGTAAATTTTTTCCATTTCAAAGCAGTTTTTGTATTTTGACACTAAAAAGAGTACTTCATTCTAGTACTGAAACAGCTGTGTAAGTTTGAACTTTATTTACAGTAGAAAGTTTGTCCTTTTTTATTTCAATAGTATAAATTTTTATATCAGAGAAACAGATTTTCTAAAAAATGTTATATGTATAAAGCATTATGAATGTTAAATTTTTACATCTATTTTTTTTCATATATATATACAGTCAGACCTCGATATAAGGTCATCCGCATATAAGGTCACCCCGCATATAAGGTCACTTTTCCAATGTCCCGGCTCACTGAATAGGAATTCTTTGTTACAAAATATTGGATATATGGTCAAGTTTTAAAAATCGTTATCGCTTATAAGGTCATTTTTATCTGAGACGAGGGAAGCTCTTTTCTAACAAAAGCCTATTTAACTTCCTTACAAGGCAATTACCCCTCTCGAGTTCTAGGAAAATGTTGCAGCCAACAAACAAGCTACAATTTCTGAAATTGTTTCACAAGTTGTGGACAGTGAGGACAATGACAGTGATCCTGAGACTGTAGCTATAACCCATGCGGACATTTCCAATGCAATAAATGTGTTACGAAATTTTTTTACAAATCATGAGGGAGCTGAGTAACATTTTGAGAAGTTACAAAATCTAGAAAACATTGTTCAAAAAGAGAAACCAAAAATAAAACAGACCTGCATAAATGATTATTTTAAATAAGGTAAGATGTAATGTATGTAACATATGTGCACTTTGAGAAAATTTGTAAACAGCTTTATTGTAAACTAATTTTTTTTTTAAATCTCACTTTCTTTAATTCTTTACTAATTCTGTTAAAATTTATTGACTTAAACATTTAATTTATGGCTGATCGTTTTCGTTTGTATTAACATTTTTAAAAAGTCTTAATGTGTACTATTTCCGAACTGCTAATGAATCGATTAAAAGGTCACCCCGCTTATAAGGTCACTTTTGCGATGTCCCTTAGGGAGACCTTATATCGAGGTCTGACTGTATATATGTAATATGCATGCAGTTACTGTTATGCTATAACTTTTTTTTTGTATCTATGCTGTAAACTAACTTTTTATACATGTATGCTGTACAGTTTTTATATATATGCTTAACTTTTATAATCTCATATTTATTTACTTTTATTATAGTACTGATAAGTGTCTTAGTTGCTCTCTTTGCATGCGGTCTCATTCACAGAGTTTGTATCACGACTTGGTAAGTAAATTTTCCCTTCATAAACATTTCATAATCTTTTCATGTATACTTAAATAAATGCTAAAAATGTGTTTTTAAAATTTCATTAAACTATGTGATTTTTTATATATATTTATACATGAGTAAATCTGAAATAACTTGCTAAATTCAAAAGTTACAATAAATCCATTATATATTAAAGCTATAATGAAAAGTAAAAACTCCAAAAATTTTATCTTTTAATGTATATATTTTGAACAGTATCTTCCATACAGGGCATATTGAATGCAACTTTTATTTGCTCATACTATTCTTAAATGACCTATTATCTGAGCTTTAACAAAATGTTGCTAATTTCCAAAAAGAGTATTAATATTTTATTTTCATAATTTTTTTTTTGTAGTTTATTACGGGGTTAAAATATATAATTTAATATAATTTGGTTAAGGAAAATATTAAGGTAAAAAAGAAAAGTAATTATTTAGTAAGAACCTTTCTTTCCCCCCTTTTTTTTATATAAGAACTATCTTTGCAAAGTTTAGTATAGTATTTCTTCTCTAAGATTTTTGTAAATGTTATCTCTTAATATTTGACATAATAAGAGTTAATTTTACATATTTAGGATTTCAATGATATAGTATTTTTATTCTTAGTGATTTGGTTAGGTTCATTAGTACTCTGTCTGACCTTTAGTACTCTGTTTTGACACTAATGTATTAATGAGCAAAAAAATGAAATGAACATTGTGGATTGGTGTTTGAATGTTTAACTATTTTAGTTCTAAATTTTTGTATTCAGTTTCTCATTTAATACAATGATGTACAATTTAGTCACAAAAGTTAGTATGTATCTGCATTGTTTATCTATGAGGACTGCATTATCTCCTTACATGGAAATTTTATTTCTATGTAAATATTTATTATTATTAGAAATGCTGGAAGCATTCAGAAATTGTATGAATTATTTTAATGCTGTGTTTGTAGAGATAGTATTTTTTGCGTAAAAGTTAAATGTTTGACCCTTTTTATTTATATTTGCTAATGCCCTCTCAAAATATTTTAACCATTTTTAATGAAATTTCCTATAAATAACGTTGATTTACGGAGAGAGTGGGGGCTAATAGAACAATATTTTTTAGATTTTGAATAATTTGTAATTAAAATCAACCAATTCCTGCTCTTATTTTTTGTGTATAACTATTGGCTTTTAGAAATTAATTGAATACAACTAAAAATAAATTGAAAGAAATATTATTTGTAATTTTTTAAATAAAAGATATGTGTTATTGTAATTGTCTCATTAGCCCCCAAGGTTGGGATCTATTGGAACTTAATGTGGGTCTAATGGGATACACAGACAGTGAAAAAAAAACATAGATAAAGACTGTTAGTTATTTAAAAATTGTATTTTAACAAAAAAAATTTTACTTATTTTATTCCAAACGCAATGTAAAAAAAACATTTAGTAGAACAAATTATTTCATTTTTAAGTTGGAGAAATTAAATTTGAAAGATAATAAAGTTGATGACCGGATAGTTTTCTAATGAATTTTTAGTTGAGGTAATTTCATTACAATGTCTTTAATTTCAGTCCAGTATTTTTCTTCTCTATCAGAATAGACAAATTTGTTAGAATCGCATCTTTTCCTTAAGTAACTCAGATACAGTTATTGAATTTCATGGTAGATTTCAACTACGACTGCCACATAATTCGATATAGTATGCTTCCCTTCAAATTTAACTTACACAAAGTCATTTTCAGATATTTGCTCTATATGAACATTTTCATCATAATCTCCTATTCTTTCTGAAAAATCTTCTTCATGTGACGAATCATGCAGTTAAACTACTTTCTGAAAAAGAAAAAAGTTTACTTTTCTTTGAAGTCAATTTAGGCTTCTTTGGGCTGTTTTCCTTTGTTGTATTATTACCTGCAACTTCAGGGGTTTTTATCAACAAAAATAAAAAAAAATTTCTACCATGGTAAGCTTTTGGAAATGAGCGAACTGAAACTGGTGTTACTGGTACAGAGAATGATGCATCTTATGCATGCTTGTCAAACTATTGTCATTGGTAGAGAGCTTTGAATCATCAATACCTTGAGTATTGACTTCATTTATTACTGCTGGAGTAGGTTGAATCATGTGGGGTGAAAATTTTTCTCATCAGGGGGCTTTTGAATTAAAATTACAGCATATTCTTCTAAACTGGTGTCTGTGTGCATAACTGCCAACTGTCCAGAATTTTTCGGATTTGTTCCTAATTTTTAAATCGAATCTAAAAATCTGATATTTTTATAAAAATTCAAAATTTTCGTAAAATTGCAGTATTTTTGCTTTTAAACCGATCCCTTGTTCTGATCGCCTCAATCGTGTTTCCTGTGATTATTGTGTTGAAGTAATTTTTAGTTGTGTTTTATTGGAAAATACTATTCCAATAGCTGTTGCTGATCATTTCACTAAATTGAATCTTAAACAACTATTATTTTTTAAAAAATGTTTTGTAGTTATAAACATTTGCATCAGAAATATTCGTTTATGATGTAGTATGTAGTTTAATATTTACCTGTGTTTTATAATTTGGAGAATAATAATTATATATTAATAGGTAATGTTTGTTTTTTAACTATTATACCAGTATTCCTAATTGTAAAATATTAATATTATAAATTTTCCACAAAAGATAGCGTTTATAATATTTTTTGACTAATTTACATGAGGTATTTAAATATATTATGTCTATTAATGTTATTATTTAATAGTTAAATTTTTGTCTTACTCTCGTAATTGGTGCGTATAATTTTGTCGCATATAATGTTCCTAATTTTTGCTTCCTAAGGTTGGCAGCTATGCTGTGTGTAATTCAGTTTCGCATTTAGGGTTACATATTGAAAGAACAGGGTTTTGGGCTAACAAAGATTTAAATTGCTTAAACACTTGCATCCCTTTCTTCAATGCCAAATTTATTTATTTTTTTTTTTAACAGATCACTAAATGCTCTACCTATCATAGAATAGTTTGGAATGAATTTTCTGTACCAGTTAATTCCAAAAAACTATGTTTTTTTTTTTTCCTTCAAATTTGTCGGCTCTGGATAGTTAAGAACTGCTTTGGTTTTTAAAGTAGATGGAAATATTTTTCCATCCTCTATCACATGATCTAAAAATTCAATGCGCTTCTTCAAGAAATTGGACTTTTTAAAATTATATATCAAGTCCATATTCACTAGCAATATTCAAAACCAGATCATGTTGTTCATTGCCTTTAAGGGAGGAAGGCAAAATAATTGTCACCTAAATACGGTAAAACTATACCCTCATTAATCAAAGTTTGGAAACCAAACGGAACCTTAGGCAATTGATATTACCCTTTATGTGTCACAAATAAAGTGTATTTCATACTATCTTGACATGTAGGAATCCATATTTAAGATCAACTGTACTGAAAATGTTGGAGCTTTGTAGTCTATCGAAAATGTCTTCAATTAATGGGAGGGGGAATCTACCCTTCACAATCACTTTATTTAATTTTCTGTGATCTATGGGCACACAAGATCCTTTTTTTTTAACAATTACAATGGGACTACAATGTTCTGAAGAACTGGGCTCCGCTATCCCTTGTTTTGACCAGGGATGAGATTTTTCCGCTTTTTAGCGGATCTCTCCTTTTATCGCTTTTGCCTCTCGAATTTCAGCCTTTTTATCAAAAACTNCTAAAAATTTCACTTTTTTTTATAAGTATTCCGCTTTTTCAGAAAATTCACCGATTTTCAAAGAGAAATAGAAAATTTAAACTACATAGCTACCAATCCTTTCTCATTTTTATTTATTTTAGCTATTTTCTCCCCTTTTACACGCAGCAGATAATTTTTTCTGAATTTTTTACCCCGCCCTCCAGATAGATCTGATTTTCGTAGTTCAAACGACGCTGCTTCTGACAAGCCTTTTAGAGGTCCCAAGCCAGGAATCTGCTAATATCTCGATTCTTATTCACGCGATTTTAATATCAAACATAGCTTTTCATATTTTCGTGTTGCGATTCTTATTCACGCGATTTGAATATTGTACGTTGCGATTCTTATTTATGAGATTTAAAAATCTGATATTGTGATTCATATTTACGCCTTTTTAAAAACCTATGTAGCGATTCGTATTCACGCAAGTTTAAAATTCAATGTCTTGATTTGCTCATGCGGTTTATAATATCAAACATTGATTTTCGTATTTATACGTGATTTTAAAATAAGGCATTGGGATTCGCATTCACGCATTCTAAAAATTATGCATCATAATTCTTATTTATGCAATCTAAAAATTACGCATCATGATTCGTATTTACGCGATCTAAAAATTATGAATCGTGATTTGTATTTACGCGTTTTAAAAATTCTATATCCCAGTTTGTATTTTCTCATTTTCAAAATCGTATATCTAGTTTCATATTCATGTGATTTCAAAATCCATAATTGTTATTCATATTCACGCAATTTTAAGATCAACTATCGCGATTCTTGTAAGAAGTAAATTTTTTTTAAAATTAGTTACTATAAAGGTGACTGTTTTTCTAACGACGATTATTAGTATATGTAAGTGTTACAACATCAGAGAAACTGGAAGGGAATATATTCAAAACTTACATTCTGTGCTTGCAAAGAAGAAAAAATAGGATTTGTCACAAGATGTTTGAAGATGGACTAACGACTAAATATAGCAAACATAAAAGATATAGCAAACAAAAGCAATCACTTAAAAAGGGATTTAATTAAAAAAAAATTTTTGGGGAAAAAGAGTTAATTAACTCATCATCAAAATTTTATTTATAATTGCTGTTATTTATGCTATAAAATGCAAAATTCTTATCAAATAAAAAACAATTATCTAAACAGTTGCTGATTGTCATGTAATTTTTCAAACTAAAATAGCAATTTTTGTATGTTAAGGAGTTACTATATATTTCTACTTCACTGTTATTGATATGTTTCAGAGGGCTCTAGTTAGATTAGACTATAATATGAACATAATGATTCGGTCCATTGTTAAAGTTTTTTTTCCCAATATAATTTAAAAAGTAATATTACTGATATATTTGCTATAAATCACATAACAGTATTTATTAAAAGAAATGAAATATTAATGTATATTCTCAGTAGTTTTAATTTGCTAAACCAGGTAGTTTTTCAAGTAATAATTGTCTCTTATGTGAACTGAGGAAAAATATAATTTCCAGCTTTATTTTTTCAATTGGTAATTTTTATTTTCACTAAATGTTAAGTATCAATGTAATCATTTATATAATAATAGATTAGTACACAATTGTATGTCAACACATTATTTATTATCTTAAACTGTCTGGAATTTATTAAAGGGTTGCGCTTGCGTAAAATTTACTATCGTGGAAATTCAGCTTTTTTGCCTTTTGGCTAATCTCATCCCTGTTTGACCATCCAGCGACTTGAGCTTCAACAGTCTTTTTTTTCTTCGGAAAACAGCAAACTACGTGACTGATGAAAGTGATGTTGTCTTAAGTTTATTTGGCAAATAATATGAATCTTATTGTTGTAACTTATTTTATAAAATATTAGGATCTATGTTAATTTTAACCTCATCAGATGTAGTATCTAAGATCAATTGGTAAAATAGACAAATAGTTTACTTTATCAAAACACTGGATTTTATTTTTATTATACCCTTTTCATTGATAATTGTTTCACAACTTGCATTTAATCATTAAGGCTTATAATAGCATCATAAGTCATCACATCATTTACTACAACACATATTTCAGCAAAATATTTGAAATCATCAATTTCAATATTTTCTTTGAAATATCCTAACAGAGTAACTATTGATTTACCAAATCTGTTTTGAGTAAAATTTAATGGAAATAGTTCTTTAGAGTTTAATTTATTAAAAATTGATCTTCTGATTAAAGAGGCTTTACTTTCTGTGTAAAACATTTCTCAGTTTTGGCTCTACACTAACGTTTAAATTAGCAACATCTGTTTCTGCATTTAATTTTAGGCATTCAGAAGCTTTGTGTCCAAAGGCTTCACATTTAAAACACTTCAAGCCCTTATCTTTATGCATGCAATATTTTGAATTATGATTTTATGAACCACAATTGTAACAAATTTTATTATTAAAAGTTTAAAAGTTTCAGTGCCAGTATTATGCCTTAGCTTTTCATTATTATATTCATATTTACTTTTATTCCTATTTGTAAAATGTTTTCTTACATTAAACTTATCATCATATTTTGTTTCATCTATCATAAGAATTATATTTACTATCTAAGTCATGTTTTGTTTTGATTTTATCGAAAGCACTTTTGTTCTTTGCAGAATCACTTTTAATTATTTCATAAACTTTAAGTTTTTCTTTACATTTGAACTAATTTTTGCAGCTATACCAAACACTTTTGTTTTCATGTTGGTCCTTAATTCCCTTTATTATAGAATGCATAAAAACAGCTTTTTTTTTTCCAAAATTACATGACGGTTTCATCTTTTAATATTCTTGAGCTGATTCAGAATCTTTTATTTTATGTTTACTCAAAAGATCATGCAAATTAGCAAAATTAATTTCAAAAGAAAATTCATCAATCAAAGATTCTTTTAATTTTTGCCATGAATTTTTTTTTAACACAGTTCTGACAAATAAAGAGGCGTTACCGCCAAAAGAACTTTTAGCAAAAATGAATTTTTGTAAATCAGACAAATTAAACAATTTTGGAATATTTTCAAAATGTTCGATCTAATGAACAATATTTTCATGTAATTCTGCATTAAACTTAGCAATAGTACTTTCGATAACAGAATAATAGCAACCTTTTGAAATTCAAAATTTCTGAAAGAATTTCTTTTATCACTTACACAAGGATCAGGATTTTTATTTTCAATATTGCACTGCTTTGAAAAATCACTCTTCTCTTTATTTATCCTATTTTTATTAGCCTGCTTCTAAGTTTTGTTTTCACTTTTGTGATTGTTTATTTCTTCTCCTGACGTTTTGGCGTAGTTCGCAAGCTCTGCAAGTTAGTTTAAATCCATTAACAATGTCAAAACATTCTTAGCTACTTCTGTTTTATTATTTCTTAAATGTGAATTTTTTTTTTCAATATCTTTTAACTTATTTTTAAATTTTTGGCTTTCAATTGGGAAATCAAAACCATTAAAATTTCTTAATCAAATATGAATTTATGCAGAAGTTTTACTTTATCTGTTTTATAATTCCTCAATGCACTGTTTTTTAATATTATTAAGAATCATTTTTAATGAATAAATGTCTACATATCCCTTGCCAAGATGAAATATTTGCACGATATTTATTGACAAGAATCGAATGTTTCATCAGAACATCATTCGCTTACTCACTGTTTGTTGGATGTTGGAATCGAATATATTTTGATGAAAATCAAAAGTCGTTTTAAATAATTTAGTTAATCTAAATCAATTCAATTTCTTCAATATCCCACTGCTGAATTTGTGGGAAGGCAGGAGTGGTCAGGCTTGTAAGAATATGAAAATAATAAATTCGTCCAATTAAAAAAAATTATATTAATATGTAAAAGCATGTACACTTTTCTTTCTCCGTTCCAAACCATCTTCTACTGGTTTTTTTTTTTGTTGTTGTTGTTGTCGTCATGCATGCAGGAGGTGTGTCTAAAAGATAAGTCTTGCTTCTCATAGGGATTAGCTTTTAGCTTTAAGGGACTGGCACCACATACACACTTTTATAGATATATTTATGAATAACAAGGGTAAAAAATAAATATATTTATATACTTTGCAAAGTTTTTAAATTGTTTCAAAATTAACTTTAAAAATGCTTTGCCACTTTGTTTCTTTGCCATTTCTACTGTTCCCGTTAAGTATGATTCAGAATTTTTTATAATGTCATAAAAATACATAATTTTATATTTTCAAAACTTTTTTTTTAAAGCCTTATAAATAGTAATAAAAAATCCTATTTTAATCATTCTTTTATAGTTCTATTTCTATCTAACAACTATCTATGATAGTACTTTTATTAGTTATAAATATGAATCCCCTTCCCATTTTGATGACACATTCTATAGTATTATAAACCTAAAAATAAGCTTTAAAAAACACCAAATACAGTTCGTTTTAAATTATCTTTTTTAAAACGGAATTTTGATTCAACAATTTGATTCAAGTTTTATCCGTAGTTATTGAGTTATTTTTATAAATATAATTTAAACATTTTATGGCATAATTTATTTTTTAAATTTTGAAGATTGCCACCAATGTTCATTTTAAATATAAAATATAGGTTAAATTAATTTTTAGTTCCAGCAATAAACTTTCATTAATATCAAACATATTTTTTTATTTTAAACATTATTTTATTGAATAAAAATTTGTCTGAAATTTGGGTTATTAAAATCTGCTTATATAAACACATTGAAAATTTTATTTTAAATGTACATTTTAGTAAAACGATGGATTTAAATTTTAAGGTATATTTAAATACTAACAACTTTAATGTTCTACTTTTTGTTACACTCTTATGTTTTTTCACACTTTCTATTCTAAATTATCACAACAGAGACATGGAGTTTTGAGCTTTCTTTTATACAACTTATAGAAAGATTTCAGCAATAAACGTAGTTTTAATGCATTGTAATTTTTAAATAGCTTCTTCACTAATTTTACATTTGTAAACTAACATTCAAATTGTATTAAATTAAAAACATTAAAGTTTCTAAATATCTTAACGAATGTTTTTTTTCTCCACCACTCTTAAACTCTCTAAATTAAAATCAAGCATGAAAAGTTTTAATTAGAATTCTGGTGTTTTTTATTATTGTATAAATGACCACCTTATGAAACTAATCTCCAAAATTAAGGTTTTAAGTTACTATATAAGTAATTATTTGTGAGTTTGCATTAGTTCTGTAACTTTTCTGTATTCCAAAATTTTTAAAATAAGGTTTGTAGATACTCAGGAAAGAGTTGTAATAAAAAAAAAAACTATTGAGTTTTTCATTTGCAAACTAACGTAAAAGTCATGCTTATTTCAAATTAAAATTATCATTTTCGAGTTTTTATTTTTACTGGTATTTTGTAATTTTCCTAAAACTTTAGGTCCTTAAAATTTTTCAATCTAGTTGATTCTTATGTATGTAAAATGTAATTAGCCTTAACTGTCAATGGTGTTTTTAAATAACTTATTCATTTATTTAGGTAAAAAATTTACTCATTTCTATTTATTTTAGTTTCATCTTTTCAATGGTGGCATTGTACTATATGAACAGAATATCTACAAAGATTTATGGTAGTTCTGCGCCTCCAGCTGCTGTTGTAATACCAGAGAAAAGGAAAAGAAAATAGTTTTGCCAATTTTCTATTTGATGGATTTGTAATAAATACTTTTTTTCTTTTCCCAATAGTATTTATTTCTTTTGCATTTTTATTCCTCTACTTTCCAAATACAGTTCTGTTTAAATTATTTTAGTAATGATTCTGAAATATCTATGAGATACAATAAACTGCTATATCATATGTCATTTCTTTCGATGACATTTTTAGTTTGCTTTTTGACAAAATGTACAAGTTTAAATAGCTATATATAATGAGGTTACTTAAATGTTGCATCTAGCTTCTAGGGCAGTCGGGGGGGGGTGCATCATGCCCAGAAATGTTGTCATACACAGCTGGGGCTATTATGAACTGTTTGCGTCTGAACAGATAGAAAAGTACCCCAAGCCACATACGACATTTACGTGCATCGGTTCCTATATAATTTTAATTCTGTTAATGTGCTTTAACTCCCTCAGAAGTTTGTCGAACCATTTACAGGTTTACAGGACCTCTTGTAATATATAATGCTTTTAAATTTGTACATTACAGCAAAAGTTAGACTAAAAATTTCACTTTTAAAATACTCTGTAGCCTTAGGAGAAAACATTTTTTCAGAATTGAACTCACTATGCCTTAATTAGGCATGATAAAGTAAGTATTTGTAATAATACAACAAAAAATTTGCTCTCCAGTGTAATACATAATTTAAAAGTGAAAATATCATGTTCAACTATATGGAGCTTTTTTCAGGGAATGCATCTTTTTATCATTGTGCAATAATGATGTATTTCGATAGTCAATATATTTGCTGCATGAATTTTTTTATACCTATACATTTATAATTTGTAGATAGGCCTTTTAATTACAACACTTTAGTAATTTATCAATAATAAAATCTATTACAAGAATGGTTATGCGGTACTATGTTAATTTACTAAGCTGACTAGTTTTTTTTTTAAATTGCTTGGTGTAGAAAGGACTTTTTTTTATGCCTAAGTATGTTTTTATGTTATTCCTGCATTGAGTATTACAATTTCACTATTCCTCATACTTCATTTCATGAGATATTTGTAGCTGTAAAAGCATAAATAATTAGGATTTCTTTCCTCAGGGACGCACATTTGTGTGACGGGTATAGCGCACCCGAGGTTTCCCATGCTGAATCTCGGTGCCTGTGTAGTTTAAAGAGTTTAAATATATTATCTTCAGTAATTCCGTTAGGCTTTGTAAACTATGAGTCCTTAGGACTTCCATATTTCTTGTTCCCTTTTTACCAAAAGCGTGTCCCCTATTTAAAATATAAATTCATCGTTTTATCACATTCAAAAAATTATATTTATTGAAAAATGAAACAAAGAATTTCATATCAAGAAGAGTTATATTTGAACAATTAATGTTCCAATTTAGGATTGATCAAACATCTGCATCAAGGGAATGTAACAATGTAATTTAATACACACAATTCTAGTTTTCCCTTTCTGTTGTTAATAAAGAAGAAAACAAATTTTTAACTCTTTCAACTAAAAGTCTTTCAAGCAGAAGCTAAAATGCAGTGCAACAAAAGTGTATTATATATGAATAACCTTCCTAAAATGTTTTAATTATTTCTACTCCCTATCATTTTTATCGATTGTCCTTAATATTTATTATTAAAAATGTACCTGCATTAATTTTATAGAGTAGCTTTTTTTTTCGTTTCATAGTTTCTTTACATTTATTTTTTTCATTGCATAGTTTGCTTACATACGTGTTTTTTTATTCTGAAATGTTTGTACTAAATATTGTATGAAAAGTGGCAAGGGCATATATGAAACATAAGGAGGACATCATTTATTTCACAAATTTGCAGTAACAATGAAAGCTCATACACACGTGAAATGCAAAAATGAACAAATGAATGAAATTTAAAAATCTTACAGGAAAAAAGTATGCTTCCACAATGCACATTGTGTCTCATTAAAATAAAACAGCTGTAGAAAAAATGAAATTGCATTTAGTAAGACGAGAGCATAGAGCCCCATGCATGTGATCTACTGAAAGGAATGTAAAAAAATTGGGTTTCATTAAAGTATAATATTAGACCAGAAGTTGCTATAAAAAAAGGAACAGTAATAATAATTGCAAATATGGTTCAATATGATCACCATTCTGAATATCCAGTTCTTATATATTTAACATGAAGTGCCAGATTTTCCCTTTCCTGCAGCATTAGTAATTAATGAATTGAAACTACATTCTACTGAGCATATAAGCCTTATTTCTTTGAGTTTCAACCTGTACATCACGTGTCTGCATTCTAAACACCTTGCGTTATGATATGTGCATCCTGCATTAAAACTTTTTTTTTACAGTTCCCAAGGTAAATAATTAAAATTTTTCATTGTGCTAAAAGAAATTTGGGGAGGGGGGAATGCTGATACAGAGTTGCTATCGCCTCAAGGAAAACTAAAATTTTTACTATATAACTGGAAGAATTAACATTTTCCAAGCATTTGCGAAAGTCATCCCAACTATGGGATTCAGTATGAAGTCATTATATAGGTTTTTTCTTCTTTTATGTGACTTGTATTTTTTGAGATTTCTAACAGTTTTTACCTCGGTTATATTTTGCGATTGCAGCAATATCTGCAAACTAAAATGAAAGACGTGTCAGTCAATTTGTGCTATTTTGTTTTCTGCAGAATCCAATCGTCATGAATATTGTCAATATGTATAGGCTGTGGTATTTACTTATTTCAGCAGGTTCGACGCGGAAATGCTGCATTTATTCGGACAGTGTGAGCAATTCGCACCAACTGGAACATTTTGGTAGTGAAATTCATCCCATTCTGTACTTTATACAGCATTTATTAATTAATCTCCATGAGAATGATTTTGATATTTTGTTCTGCTGGGTTCCAAGCCATGTGGGAATCCCCGGTAATGATTTAACCGATGCAGCTGCGCGATCTGGTACCTTTCTCGGACACGAAATCACTATTCGACATTTCATAAGATCATTATGGCAACAGCAGTGGGACTCCCAGATCAACAATAAATTGCACTTATTCCAACTCTATTTCAACCCTTGTGGTACCTCTCCGCAGTGCAGATGTTCAACTTACCCGGCTCCGAATCGGCCATACTAGACTGATCCATATTCTCAATGCAACACTTATAATGTTTTACTTTCGATTCACCATATTTTAATCAGTTGCCTGTGTTTTAAGAGACGTCTTCTTACCTTTTCTGGTAGTTAGTTCTATTTTATCTATGGGAGATTTGTTAGGTGTCTCTCATCATCCTAACATTTACGTGCTATTGTATATAAGTTTTATTCTATCGAGGATTTTATTCACTTTTACAAGTATATTTTAACTTTTACACCATTTTACCTTTCATACAAAATTTTACTGTGTTTTAACTTTAACCTGATTTTATTCCATTACTACCGTTGATTGTTTCTATATCATTTTATCAATGTTTAATGTATTTTATGAAAAGTAAGTATGCACTTTATTTTTTGACATGAATAAACATATTTTTTGGCGCAGCATGTCCTCATTTGGATCTTGTACCATTAAACACTATATTCAATCAATTCTGCAGAATGCATACTAAAATGGGGGGGGGTTCTTATTTAGGATTTTAATATTAAAATAACCCTTTGTATATTCAACTATATTTTGCAGTATATACTTAAAAACTGTTTTTTTTTTTAATGTAGGACTCCCTATAGATCTTAAAATGTATTACATTGTGTTAAATGAAAAAAAAAATTCTTTATACTGTTTCCATGTAATATAGCAGCAAGGTGATGATCATGAAAAATTAAGTATTTTCTCTTCTCACTAGGAAAGATTTTAAAGAGTTTATCACAAAATTATGAATCTATAATGTATAAGAAAAAAAAGAACTGTATTGAAACACCTTGTAAAGGATATAAATATATATCATTAGAAATCGTGCATGATAAAAAATGAAATTGGTAAATAGAGTATAAAAAAGGATCATACAGCAAAGTTTACATGAGGCATGCTATAAAAAATCCAAACAATAAGTGTGAAAGGCAATAACTACTTAAAAAAGTAAGTTCAGGAATGTTTAAAATACAAATACATATTTTGGACCACATTTATAATTACACTTATTATGTGTATAGATTTTATATATTTACAAAATATTTTTACTACGAACTCCAAAATAGTTTATTTTATTTTGTTGAATATTAACCATCAGTCATATAATTTACTAAACTACCCTTAGAGATAAAGTTAATCTTCGTACTACGCCATAAATAATTTGGCACATACTAACCAATATAAAGCAATTTGTTACATTCATATTTTAATCAATTTAAAATGTTTACTGTTAATTTGTAGTGTGTTGGTGCTCCTAAATGTACAGTCTACTTTACGAGAACTTATTTCTTGTGTATAATAATAAAGTTACATCCAAATTTTCCAGTGCATTTGAAAACAGTCGATTTCAGCGTATACAGTAGCTATTCAATTTCATACCATTTAGAGGATTATATGTAACTTAAGTTTGGTTTCTCTGATCAATACGTCTTTGTCTGTAACATATTGAGAAATTGTAGGACGTAAAATCTTGCTCATGTTGTTTAAATTTATAAATATATATATTTTTAATCAAAGTATGGATTGATTTAATAACTTTAACTTGTATTCAAATAGATATTTCAATTTTCAAGATTTTTCCTTTCTCTTTCCTTTTTAATCTAAATATTTACTGACATACGAAAAATTAATTCACTGAGAAAGCAAACATGTTTACTCTGAAATCCTAGCTCCTCGCAATATTTAAAATGGTAGTGAAATTACAATTGAGCTGTACTCAATTTGTTACATTTTGCTAGCACTTCAGAACTCTACAGCTCGGCTATGAGGTCTTAGATATTTATTTAAATATGAAATAACCGAGCAGTGAAGTGTTGCAATATACAAATTGAGTATATCTGGTTGTCATTTCAGCACCATGCAACAAATATCAGATATTTATTATGTATGGTGATAGTCTAAAATCATTTTAAACAAAATATCTAAAATCAAAAACTAAATGTTTAAAGTATTTTTCTTTCCACTTT